TATTTCCCTTATTTTTTTTTTCAGAAAGATGAGCCGGATTCGCCATGAGTCCGTCGGTGAGCAGTCAGCCAAAAGCAAGGACATGGAACACCGATTTCCTTCACCAAAAGTAGATTCGGATCAGTTTCTGAGGATCGTTTCATGGCAAGAATCAATTCCAGCTCAGGAAAACCCTAGTCCGACCCCTACGTCGGACATTGCAGGTAAACCATACGGGCGTGAAAGCATTAAAGCAACAGTCCCAGCAGGGTGGGCGTGGTCGGAAACGGCTGCAATCCCCTCGGCCGATTCCCACTTCGGAGCTGTTCAGCCCCTAGTCAAGAACGTAAGAAGTGTGACTGAACAAAAACTCACCTTGGAAAGCCGCTAGGGAGGGAGCTGAAGTGGGCGTGGTCGGAATCGGCCGAGGGGATTGCAGTCGTTTCCGACCACGCCCACCCTGCTGGGACTGTTGCTTTAATGACAAATTAGCACTATATTCAAGTATTAAGTTGTTCTCGCATTCAGGAACGGTTCGCTCGTGGTACAGAAGCCTCTCACGTCGAACACTGTTCATCGGTCTCATCGTCCTCCTCGCCGTACTCTTCATCATCGCCATCATCATCACCGTTGTCGTGGTGTTCGTGTTCGAGAACCATGACGACCATGCTTTCACTGCTATCGTCTTCACAATGAGCAGCTCATCCCCTCCAACACCAACGCCGTTTCCGTTCCCAGTTGGCTTCGTGGTCGGCACCCTATTCCGCTACATTCCACTCGGTGAAGTGACAAGTCTCGTACCGGACACAAGAGCATTCACCTTTCCAACAACAGTTCATCTCCTACGGCAACAACTCCTTATCGCTGCTTAACAACGACACCGTTTCCAAGAGCAGAGTCCTTCTGGACACCTTGAACTGCACTTCTTGCACGGTGCTGGCAGCGGACGACCGCTGCTTCTCAGCAACTAGCAACATCTGCTACCAGTCACAAACCATCTACTGCTGTACAAACTGCACCTATGGGGCTAATTTTTGCCGAGTTAAGGGAGTCCTCTATGAGGTAAGAGCCTTGGATTCTCATCAGATATTAGACTAAATAATTACTCAGATCGAATAGACCCTTAGAGACTCGCAACGACTGCGAGTAGTCACCGTTAGCTTTCTAAATATGTCTAAAGAAACGGCAAAGTCAACGGCAAATACTCTGACTGTTTCACGATTCTCACCTGTTTCCACGAAAATCGTCGGAGAACCCTCAAGAGCCACCCCCCCCTCCACTGCGACATGAACCGCCACTTCCACCCCACGATCCAACTGAAAACCTCAAATACGGACCTTGTCCCATTCTCCACTTGTCATCATCATCAACTCCCAAAAACTTATTCACGATGAGAACGAAGGTCAAAGAAGGGGAAAATTGCATAGTTCGGAGACAGGCGGACCTCCTGAGGGTACGGAGTGACGACGCAATTTGGCAGCGAAAGATTTGACCTCGGCGATCTAGCATGGCTCACTCTTGGCGCGGTTGGCGGGGTACGCCCACCGACTATCTAATCACTCGCCGCAGGTCTATACGTGGCGAGTGATTTATAGCAGAGAGAGCGTAGTGTTGAAGAGGGCACAGCGATGAGAGTCGCATCAATGCGCAAATCAACGGGCAAGGAAGGGGTCCCATTTCTCGGGTTTCGGGCCATTTCATATGGTTTCTTCTTCATCCCTGCTCCACTGACCACCTCTACCCTTATTCCAAATAGCGACCCACACGTTGAACATAATTCAACAGAGTGTTGGACCTATTGTGCTAAGTCAAATCTAGCGCTTTTTCGACGTGAAAGTGGCCCTATCGGCAGTGGACACACGAACATTCTGGCAGCACAAATCGGTCCAGTAGATACTACGACCAACCGGTGAAGTCAGCAGTATCTGAGAGATAAGTCTTCAAATAATACGTAGCGACATTACGCAACTACCTCTGTCACACTGTCCATTTTTGAAGAGCTCGTGGAAAATAGATTAAGAGTTGATAGTGTGAATAGTTTTCGCATTGCAGTTCTACGACCAACTTGTGGAGACGCGAGTATTCTCAAACGCAGATGGTTTACAACTCACAGTAGCCTCCCAAATAACCTCGCCCTCATGCGCCGTGCAAACTCATCGAATCGCTGCCAACGGCACTATTTTTTCTGGATCAATTAAAAGCTGCCAGTCGCCACATCACCAAATGAGCCGTCTCGAGGTAAATGACTGAATGCTCACCCCCCACTCAAGAACTTCATTGCGTACCTGGCCTATTACAGCTAAATACGCTTACCTGTCATCAACGACGCTCGATCCGGATTCCGCCATCTATACCGACATTTTGACGGTGATCGACTCTGATGGGAATGTTCAGCTGACCAATGTCTCATCTAGTACTGCTCTTACTTATCTCCCCATGAGAATCAAGGTGAATCTCGATTTTCTTCAAAACATAAAAGAGAACAAGGTCCTGATTCAGGATAGTGTGCTGTCCATCGCCTCGACTGTACAAGATGGCCATCTTTTGGTCGCTATTCTGCAGACATCTCGTTTCTATGCACTCCGATATAGTTTTAACACGAAATGTGTCGCAGTGTTGAACAGTTACTATCAAACGTTTCTCTTCTCAGGTATGCCTCATGAAATCTTTCGAGATTCTAGTTACCGAGAATAAAATAACTGTGGCTGATATTGGTGAAGGTAATTAATTATCGCAAATAGTGCTCGCGAATTTGCTAGCTATGCATTTTATTACCAACTAATCAACTCTTTTTTATCTAATCTTTTCGTTCTCAGAATACACTTGTTTATGCATAGAACCGGACGCTCGCTACGAAGCCGAGCCAAAGTCATCCGCGATTGGACAATCGGACGGCTGAATTTGGCTCGGCTTCGAAGTGAGCGCACTTGTGATTTGGATGACAGTCGTATTATTGGGGAGTAGAGATGGAAGTTGAAGCGGTGGTGTTTATAGGTGGGATTTCGGGGCGGAGTTAGAGTGTTGTGTGGTACCAGAATCAAATACTCTAAATACTACAGTCGCCGTAGGGTCGATCGGCGGGTGCCCCTCCAGGAAAGGTGGTGAGGGGTTGTTTGATTTCGGGATTTGTCCGAACGTTGATTTCAACCTTGAGCTGAACTAGAGTTAGTAATTAATTAGAATAACACAGGGATATGGCTCCCCCACTTTCTTCACGATTTGGGGCGCGGCCGCGGCGAGCGCGGCCGAGTCGATAGTGCCCGCGAACTGTGTGGGTAAATTTGAAAACGTTCACCACCACAGTTCGCGGGCACTATCGACTCGTCCGCGCTCGCCGCGGCCGCGCCCCAAATCGTGAAGAAAGTGGGGGAGCCCAGGGAGATCTCCAAGAGTTGTATCAAAGGGCAGCAGTGCTCTCTCAGCGTAGGAAACCATACGATTCTCACTAATCTCAGGTGTTTTTCAAGAAACTTTCTGAAAAAAGCGAAGTTCACAAACGTCTTTGAAAAATTCCGTTTTCATGATTGAAATAATGCTTACCCTAAACGATTTAGGAGAGCTTCAGAATTTCGCTTGGGCTGGCGACACATTGATGTTATGGTATGTGGACCGAAACGGCGTGAACATCGTTCAGTTTCAATTCCAGTGGGACGACAGGTGCTGAAATGCAACTTCCCCATGACGCCTAATTATGGCGGATAAAAAGAAATGCCTGACGAGAACTACGGAGTTTGAGAGCAATGGATTGTGAACCACAAAGGAGATGCGGATCCGCAAGATGGCTGACTCAATGAGATCACCAATATCAAGGGAAATCTAAAACATCTATCGTATTCATAGCGTTTCAATAAATACTTTCCTTAACCGTTGACTGTTATAGAAAATTTATTTAGAACTGCAGAAATTTTCATGACCTCAGCAAGAAATAACAAATCAAACAAATATAACCCTAAGTCTATCTTTCACCTAACAATTTCAAAATAGTATGAACAATAACAATGCGAAAGAATAGGATCAAATACGCCGCGGTACTTGTTGATCGTAATCCACCTTCAATTGCTTAATCTTTTCCGCCATCTCTCTCACCAGCCAAGCCCAGCCTTTTTGT